CCAGCGAGGGCTTGCCGGCATTCATGCGCAGTGCCTCGGCGTACAGGTCCTCAAATGTCTTGCGAACCTGCGGAGGGGCAGGCAGGTGGTGGTGGTGGGGTGAAGAGGTAAGGGCGAGGGGCAGGGGTACGAGGCGGGGCAGGGGCAGCATGCAAGGCCATTGAGGGCGGCAGCCGGGGCCCTTGCAACACACGCAAGCCATGAGCGCATGCGGCGCGCACGCACAGAGGCACGCCAGGCACACGCGGCATGCGGGCGCGCATCCCCAGCCCCCGCCCAACCAACCCTCTCCCGCCACCCTCGCCAGCCGCACCTGCAGGCCCGCCACGGCGCGGAATCCGTTGTGGAAGAAAGGGTGCAGGCCGCGAGGGTGCACCTCCTGCTCCAAAGTCAAGCGGCTGCTGCTGGGCGTGCGGCCTGCGCCACACATGGGAGCAATGCGAGCACGGCGGAGCGGGGATGGTCAGGGAGGGCCGGGCCAGAGCCGTGGGGCCGCGTGGCTGCCCATAAACAAGCCGGGCCGCACCCAAAACGCACGCCAAGGCGACACGGCGCCTTGCGCCCATTCTGGCGCCATTCTGGCACCATTCTGGCGACCCAAACGACCCCCTCGCACCGGGCGCAAACGTCCATTTGCCCGTCATGTGCTGCAGCGGCGCGGTGCCTCCGGCGGGCGCCAGCCGCACGTGGATGGTGCCGGCTGAGGGGTCCTCGTGCACCAGCATGCGGGTCTGGATGCTGCCCTTGAAGAACAGGAAGTGCCAGTCTGCGGGCGGCGGTGGCGGGCGCGGCGGCGGCGGCGTGGGAGGGCCAGCGGTGCGAGGCATGCGCACCGGCGAGGCTGCTTGAGCGGGCGCAGGCCCGCGCTGTGCTGGGTCCTGCCGCGAGACGTGCCCAGCATGGCAGCGCTGGGCCCAGGGGCGTTCGCTGGGGGCGCCGCGGGCGACCTAGCGAAAGTGACCGGTGCGGCGCCGCGCAGCACCCACCTGACTCGTTCTCCACCTCCACAGTCTGCCGCCCGTCGGCGCGCCCGGACCTCCACAGCACGCTGCGGTAGGTGCAGCGCTCGATGCCGCGGAAGATGGCTGCGTTGTCGGGGTGGGCCATCAGCTGGAACGCGTCGCGCGGCGTGAGCGGCAGCTCGGCCTCGGCGCTCACGACGGCGGCAATGCCCTTGCCGCTGCGCGTCCGGCATTGGAGGTGATGGCGGCCCCACTCCTTGGCTAGGTCACAGGGGTCCGTCATAGCGCAGGGCAGCCGTGATGGTGGCGTCTGAGGGGAGGCTGGTGAGTAATGCGGGGGGTGGCACCCCGGGGGCTGTGGGGCAGCGCTGAGCAAGTGCAGGGGCGCTGTCGTTGAGGTGGGAGTGACAGGGAGGTTGCTGGCACGGGGAGCGCGGGGGCCGGGAGGTTGGGTGTGGGCTGCAAGCAAGGTCTTATGCAGACTGTGGCATGCGGGGGTGCTGAGAGCACGGGTAAATAATGTTTCCGAGGCCCGGCCGCGTTTCTAGGCACAAACGCCTTTCCAGCACGGTCCGGGCCTGCGGCCGCCTCATGCATTGCCCACACCCCCTCCGACACTACCTCTCGGCACCAGGGATCCACACGGCGACATTTGTGCTGCATGGCGGAAGGATCCGTGCAGCCAAGCCGCGACAGTCGCACATGCGCCCGCTGACGGCGCCCCAATTGGAGCTGCCAGCCCTGTATACACAGAGGCCCAATGCTCTCCTCATCCTGAGCAATGCGAATTCACCACCAGGCATCCACCCAGTAGCAGCAGCTGCAGCTGAGGGGCACCTCGCACCTCTCGCTGCGCACTCCCGCCACATGCTGTGCTGTTCCTCCGGGTGGCTCACCTCTGCACCAGCCACACGCTGGTGGGGCAGGGCAGGCTCAAGAAGGCCATTACAATGCCTGTAGCGGGACCAAAATAAGAGGAAGTGCGGGTGCAAGTGAACCGGCCAAGTGTAACAGAACTGGGGCGTTGAAGAAGCAAGCAAACTGCTCGGTTCAACAGAGGAACACCCACTGGATTAGCAGAGCGACTTGCAGTTTCAAACCAAGTGCGGGTGGAGGGCAGGAAAGGCAGTACGAGGGCAAAAGAAAGGGAGGCTGACCGGATGTGGTGGCATGCCGCCTGGTGGCAGCAATGTGGCGGGCATGCCGGGCCATAGTGCGGTGCAGCCGCAGTGAAGAGAGGGACAGGGATGAAAAGGGGACAAGAGGAACATGTTGACAAGGGAAAGTTTATCGGCTCGCAGCTCATTGATGCATCAGGGTGCCGTGGCACCAAACAGTGAGCAGGGCAGAATAGGTGGATGCGAAAAAGGCAGCCGCTGGACGAGCCAGGGCAAGGCAGCAAGCTGGCAGGTACAGAGCGCTTGGGGGGAGCAGGCCAGCGCAAGAGGGGTGGGAAAGGGTAGGCACGACAAGGGAGAGCTGCGGCTGGCTACCGCCGAAGCCTAAGCAGCTTGCGGCTGGCGGGCTCGTCGGCAGCCGTCTCAGCCTGCGCCGCCACCGCGGCATCAACGGCGGGCTCCTCCTCGGCAGCCTCCTCCTCGCTGCCGGCGCCATCTGCCGCCGATACCTTCTTCCTCCAGCCCTTCTTGTTCTTGTTCTTCTTCTCCTGCTGCGTCGTCTCAACGGGAGACAGGTCTGCCTCCTCGTCACAGGAAACGAATTGCCACGAGATCTCGGTGCTGCCCAGCGGGGAACCGGAGAGGGCCTCCAACGCCTGCAGGGAACGGGGTGGTGGGGAGGGCGCAGAGCCAAGATTTGGGGCCGGAGACTTGAGAGCATCGCGCCAGACAAGCTCAGCAGGGCATGCCGCAGCCAGCGCACTGCATAGTGCGGCGCACCTCCGCCGACACGTCCAGGCTGCCGTCGTCGCAGGTGATGCACTGGTCCACCACCAGCAGGGTGAAGGAGCTCTGGGAGGAGCCCACGTCCAGCCCCTTCACGCGCACGCACCGCCCGCAGTGCTGGCCTATGTCGAACTACGGCGAGGCGCGGCAGGGAGGAGCAGGTCGAGCGCGCAGGCGAAGCATGTGGGGAGGCTTTGTGGGTGCTGGTCTGTGGCGGCTCCAGCCATCAGGCGTACACCAGCTGCAGCGCGTGGACAGGGAGTAAGGCTCACCAGTGAGGAAGGTAGATAGGCGTAGAAGCGCTCAAAGTGGCGGGGCAGCTCCTGGAGTTGACAGGCGTTGAGGCCTGCACATGCAGGGTGTGCAGGGCAGCAGAGTTAGCTGCAGCTGCAAAGCGGGTTAAGAGGCCAGAGACGAAATGCAATTGGCATCCTCCGCTACTGTCAGGCAGGCCCAGACCGTGCTGCCAGCAACCCACCTCCTCCATCCATGTCAAACGGGGCTGCATGCGGAGGGGTGGGCAGCCAGCAGAAGGCAAGACATGAGCGGCAAGCGGATGGGTGGGTCAAGCATGGCACTGTTTCCACACCTTGATCAAGCAGGGTGGCATGGATTGCTAGGCATGGCACCGCAAATTTGCAGCTATCCATGTGGTGGCGTGCCGGGCTGAAATGTCATCGGCATGCATTGGCTGGCGCAACCGCAGGTGCAAGGGGCGGTGCCGCCGCTCTGACCAAATATGTCTCGCACCTGTGACCGCCGTGGCATCGCCTGTGAACACCCCTTCATCCTCATCCGACCTCGCAGAGACTATCGTGGCGGCCAGGAGCGCCAAAAGCAAAAAAGGTGCACACACCCGTCCCACGACCATGCCCGCCCGGAGGAGAGGCTGCAGGGGCTAGGCGGTCGGGACGATGACCAGCTTGTGAGATAGAAGTTTAATGTGCGGGGATTGAAAGCGAGCTCTAAAGGTGTGGCCAGAGGGTGTCGGACAGCCTGCCGCCATGACTTACCGGGAGCCCGGCGTCCCTCCGGCTTCTGAGTCCCCTGCAGAGGCCCCTTTCATCGTACGCCATCGACTCAAATCGATCGGAAGCCAGGGGGATTGCGGGGGGCACGCACCCAGCAGCCCTAACCCCACCCGCCGCCGCCGCCGCCGCCACCGCCCGCGGCGCAGGGTTCCCTACGATGCTCGCCTGGCTGAGGCCAATTTGCAAGCTCGTCTGCTCATGTGATACTGTAAAGGCAGGTGCTGGGGACAAATGACATGCAACAGGTGGCGGCAAGTGCACAGGTGGCGAACTTCATGTTCAAACAAAACGAGACGGCTAGAAAGATCGGCGCGTATGGCGCAGGGGAGGGTCAGGCAGCATGGCATGGCAGCCAGCCGGGGAAAGTCTGTGCAAAGACGCAACAGTCAGGGTCTGGGTCATCGTCATCTCCAAGGCAAAAAGTGAAAGTCGGCCCAGCTGGCACACAGCGCCGTCAGCGCCGGCCCAGCAAGGTTGGGGCAATGCAGCCGTCTCTCGGCGGCCCGCTCGCCACTCGCCCCTCAGTGCTTGCTCTTCTTCTTCTTGGGGGAGGCATCCGCGTAGCCGCCGTTCACCTGCACCGGGCAGCGCAGGCGAGGCGAGTGCAGTTGCCACAGGTGCCTGGCATGGGCTCTGCCAGCCTGGCATGGGATGCAGGTGGGAGGGAGGTGCGAGGAATCCAGCCACGCTGATGTGGCGGCCACAGGTACCTGGCATGGGCCGTGCCAGCCTGGCGCGGGATGCGGCAGCAGCAGCCAAGGGCAGGCACCGCCACCCTGCCCTCCTCAGCCAGCCACGGCCCTGGCTGTCGCGCCGCTCGGCCGGCTGCCCGCGACACGCCCTCAGCGGCAGCGGCGGCAGCGCCGCACCTTTGGCAGCGGGTGCTGCGCCTCCTCCTCCTCGTCCTCGTCCTCGTCCTCGCTCTCCTCGCTCTCCTCGCTGTCGCTGTCGCTGCCCTCAGAGTCCCCCGGCACCTCCACGCCCTCCCCCTCCTCCTTCATCGCCGCAATGATGGGTGCATACTTGGCCTGCGGGGCGGCGCGGCGAGGCGGCGGGGCGGCGGCGGGGAGCAGCGAGTGGGCGGGCACGGGATTGAGGCAGCGGCGGCAGAGGCAGAGGCGGTGTGCATGTGCATGTGTCTGTGCGCATGTGCGCGCGTGTGTGTGTGTGTGTGCGCGTGTGGGTGCGGACCGGTCGGAGCCGCAAGTGTCGCCCTGCGGTCACGTGCGGGCAATGCAGCCGCCTCCGACCCAACTCCGCTGCCCAGGCTGGCTGCCGGCGCGCCCTCTGCTGGGTGCAGGGGCGGCAGGAGTGCGGCCCAGCCCGAGGCGCCGGCGCCGGCGCCACCAGCCAAGCCCGCAGCCACCCCGCCGCCCAGGCAGCCACCCGCCCAGGCAGCCACCCCACACCCACCTGCAGCGCCGCCTTCTGGTCGCCGCTCAGCGTCTTCCACTCGTTTGCGGCCTTGCTGCAGGCAGCGGGGTGCGGGGTGCGGGGGGAAGGGGGGTGCGGGAATGGTCGGCAGCGGCCAGGCGCCGGCGCGGGCAGGAACATCGCTGCGCCCGGCCGGCGCGCCACGCGCGGCCGTCGCTGCGACCGTCGCCCGGGCGGGGCGGCAGGGACCGACCGCGGACTGCCGGCCTGGCGGCAGCGCCCCAGCCAGCGCCCTGCGGGTGGGCCCACGTGAACAGCGGGTTGCGCCCCTCCCCCTCTGCCTTGACCCCCTTCTCCTTGTACTCCTTCATCTTGTCCGCCATGTACATGTTGAAGGCTGCGGGGGGTGGGTGGGGGTGGGGGGCAACAGGTGTGTGTGTGAGGAATGCGGGCGGGGGTGGGGGTGGGGGTGGGTGGGGATTAGGGGAGGGCAGGCGGGCGTGGGGGCCGGGGCGAGCATGGCACGCAGCCCAGGGGTGCCCAAAACCGTGGTTGGTGCAATCCCAGGGATGCCCGGGGCCAGGTCAGGGGGCGTGCTGCAGAGGCCGGCCCCTGCCTGCCCCGCCCTTCCCACCACCACCACCCCCGCCTCCGGCTCCCGCCCCTCGTCTCCGCTCCCCGCCAGCCCCCTCAGCAATGCGCCGCCGCCCGCACGCACCGCCCACACGCGGCCCACCCACCCGTGGGCTTGCGCTTGCTCTTCTTGCGCTTGCCGCCGGCTTGCTTCTCCAGGGACTTGACCTGCCTGGATCTGGAGGGAGGGACCAGGGGGCGGGGCGGCGGGTCAGGGGTGGCGGCAAGGGTCAGGGTCAGGGTCAGGGTCAGGGGCAGGGGCGGGGCAGCGGCACAGCCAGGGCGAGGCACACACGGGGCTGCCGGCCAGGCACGGCGGCAAGAGCGCCGAAAGACAAGCCCCAGGCGGCCTCCGTGCGTGAGAGCAGCCGGCCGGCCGGCCCTCGCACCGCCGCGGCTGCCGCGTACTGCCGGTACCGTGCCGGTACCGCGCTCACTTGAACAGGCTGGGCGGCAGCTCGCCCGTGCCGTTGTACTGCACCACTGCGGCCTGGATGTGCTGGAAGAAGAGCTGCATTTCCTGCGCGAAGAAGCTGATGAGGCGGGAGGGGTCGGGCCCCGCCTCGGCGCCCGCCAGTGGCGCCGCCAGCAGTGAGAAGGCGTCCATTGCGGGCAGTGGCAGTGTGTGGGTTGGGTTCAACGATTGGGCGAGTGGGAGGGCTGCGCGCGGGGAGGAGGGAGCAGGGGGGCAGGCAGGTGCGCGGCCGAGCTCAGCAGCACGCGGCGGCGGCGACGGGAGCGGGGGCGACGCCGCCGGCCCGCCCGCCCGTCTCGGGAGGTGTGCAGGCTGGCGGCTGCTGCCCGCAGGCCGCGCGGAGGCTGCCCGCGGCCTGGCAGCGACAGGTGGTGACAGCAGTGCAGGCCTGCGCACCTGGGGGCACGATGCAGGCCCGCCAGACAGAGATTTTGACGTCGGGCGGGGCTGTCAGTGAGGTTAGCAGCTCCCAGGTGCTTCAGAAGTGCTCAGCCGAGTGGCAGGCGGGAGCGAAACAGCTTCGGTCGCCGAGTCGGCGGCTCCCTTCTTCTCGACTGAACAGGCGAGGATTGGGAGGTGGGCTTTGCAATACTTGTTTAGCCTTTCGGCGTGCAAATACAACAACCCACTTAGCTGAATTGGGGTGCCAAGGCGCTCCGCCAGCCCTTCCTTGGGTTTTGAGTTCGTCAATCCGCCCCAATTCCTCGTCAGGGCCCTGCCTACCACCTGGACCAATGCCAGGCGGATGCGCCTGCAGAGCCGCCAGCGCCGCAGGGCCCCCAGAGCAGCCCCGACGCTCCCGCGGGCCGGGGCGCCCGCGTGGCGCCGCCGTGTCGCCGGTCACCCCGCTGCCCCTCCTCCCCTTCTTCCAAGAGTTCAGGTGCCGACAGAGGCTTCTGGGTGCTGGGGGGCTGGGGGGCATGCATCAATAGCGCCATGCCAGCAGTGCCACGCCCTGCCTGCCACCCGCAGCACGCCTGCCTGCTACTGGGCCGCACCCCACCCCATGTAACAGCAAGCCTTGCTTTCTTTCCTCCTCTGCCCATGCGCAGGTCACAGGTGGCTCGGCTGGAGGGCGTGCGCGAGCTGGCCGCGCCGTCGCACCTGGCCGCCAGCCAGTGCGCCGAGCCGGCGGCGGCGGTGCGCACCGGCGCCTGCCACTCTGACCGGTGCGCTGGGCACACGGGGTGCCATGCCGTGGCCAAGGCTGAGCTCATCCCAAGCCTGAGCTCATCCCGCCTGTGCTTTCCAGCCACACCCACCCACGTCAGCCGCGCCTGCAGGCTGCGCTTCGGTCACTTCCTCTACCTCAACGCCGGCGGAGACGGCGGCGGCGGCGGCGGCGGCGGCGGCGGCGGCGGCAGCGGCAGCGGCGGCCGCGGCCGTCGCCTGCGCAGCCTGTCGCTGCTGCGCGGCGCACTCTACCCCTCCTGCTTCAGCTTCCACCCGCCGCTGGAGTTTGAGGTGGTGGCGTTTGATGGCGGCCAGGCCTGGGCGGTGGCGGTTGAGTATGTGCCGCTGCCGCCGGCTGGCGATGAGCTGGCCGGGGGGCCGGAGCAGCAGCAGCAGCAGCAGCAGGAGCAGCGGCAGCAGGAGCAGCAGCAGCAGGAGCAGCGGCAACCACAGCAGCAGGGCGGCATCGGATGGCGGCAGCGGCCGGCGGCAGCAAGCGGCAGGGGAGGCTCGCCTCCGCCGCCCGCCGCAAGCAGCGGCAACAGCAGCAGCAGCGGTGGCGGCAGCAGCAGCGGCTCTCGGGGCCCAGAGAACTCTGCGCCTGCTGCAGGGCTGACGCCCGACGCCTGGCAGCAGGAGCAGATGCAGCGGCTGGCGGGTGTGCGCCAGCTGTACGCCGCCGCCGCGGTGCCGCCGCCCGCGCCTGAGCACTCCCAGCCGCCGGCCGCCGCCTGGCAGTCGCCTGGCCACTGCCTGCTGCTGTCGTCGGCGCAGCTGCCTTCCGAGCGGGGCGCCAGGGGGGCGCAGGCGCTTCGCGCGGCCCTGGACAGCACAGGCCTGCCCGCCTTCCGCGCAGCGCTGTCGGTACACCTCAATGGACTGGCGGCGGCGCCGGCCGACGCCTCGCCCGCGCACGTGTCGCGCGTGGCGGCGGCGCAGCGCCGCCACCTGGCCGCCGCCGCGCGCCGCCCGCTGCTGTGCACGGCGCAGCTGCGGGCCGCCTTTGGGGACGCCTGGCTGGATGAGCTGCAGGCGAGGCCCTGGCGCCAGCTCCACGCCAGCGCCGGTGCTCTGCACCACCCGTCGGCTCGCGCGCCGCGCCGCGCCTTCCTCTTTCCAGCGCTACTCATGCCACCAACTGCTCATGCCACCACCCCTCCCACTTTGCGCTCCCTGCCACCTGCGTGCCTGCCTGCCTGCCCCCTCTGCCTGCAGGAGCACCTGCTGCTCACCGGGCTGCGGGGCCTGGACGAGGCGGCGGCGGCGGCGGCGGGGGCGGCGGGGCAGCCCGGCGGCGGCGAGTTCCTGTACCTCGACCCCTCGCTGCTACTGCGGGACTCCGGGGGAAGGCCCAGGCCTGGGCAGGGCTAGAGCCACTGCATGACGATGCTGATGCTGGCCGCCTGGCGGCGACCCGCTGCTGTCCTCTCGGCTCGCCTGTGGCGGCATCTGATTCTGCCTGAAACAGCAAGCGCGTGGGGAGGGTGGCGGCGGCGCGCACCAGCGCCGAACAGCTATGTTTACAGTGTGTAGTGTTTATCGGACATGGGAGGGAAGGGCGCGACTACGTTCCAGTGGGGGATAGCGGGGAAAATTGCCGGCCCCGCGGCGCCGGGCTGCCCCCGTCAGGGGCAGCGTCGCGAGCCGGCGGCGGGACGGGGCCGTGGCGGCACGCAATGCGAGGCAGGCGGTACATGCAGGAGGGGTGGTGGTGTGGAGGGACCTGGCTGGGGATGGCAATCGGCGGCGGCGCGGCGGGTGGGTACACATGGGGTGGTGGTGGCAGGCAGGGGGCGCTGGCGGGGGATGTGGGTACAGCCCTGCCTGCCGGGCAGGCCGCGGCACTGCGCTCGGCACTAGGAGAGCGCAGGGCGCCACGGCGGCGGCGCCGGGAGCAGCGAGCCCCAGCAAAAAAATGGGGAGGCAAGCGAGCGGGCAGCCAACCAAGCGGGGGGCGACACATGCCTGGCGGGGTGTGCATGGATGGTGGCAGCGTGATCAAAACAGCAGAGGCGAGAGGCGGAGCAAAAACAGGGCACACCCCGGTGTATCGTACTTTTTGGTTGGCTGTTAGGTTTTGTGTGGGGAGAGCAGCAGAAGCGAGAGGTGGGGCGAGCGGGGGAGGGCCAAATCAAACCACCGAGGCAGGCAGGCATCGCTAGCAGGCGCGGCCCCTGCCGGGGACGCTTCGGCGAGGTGCGCAATGAAAGGCGGCGCGGAAGTGCTGCTGATGGCGGCCGGCGGGACGGCGGTACCGCAGCGACGTGCAGCTGCTCAGTAGCTGCCCTGGATGTACTCGTTGAGGCGGTCCACCTCCTGCCTGCAAGGCGGCAACAAGGGCCGGGGGGCGACCGGGGGCGGTCACACAATGCGCAGTGTGTGTCGCGTCGGCAGCCAGCCAGCCTCCCTCCCCGGAAGCAGCAGCACCCCGCGCATGCTACAGCCCGAGATGCTCCCAACGCGCCGCCGATCCTCGACGCCGCCCCGCACTCACCACACCACCACCACCACCCACCACCGCGGCCACCACCGCCACCCGCCTGTGCATGGTGTGCGCCACAGCACACCCCCACACGCAGCCCCCCCCGCCCCCAAATCCCGCCCCCAAAAAGAAAGCAGGTAAAGGCAGCAGGCCAGGCAGCCCCCAGACTTCGCCCCCAAACACCGCCCCAACAAAAAGGCAGCAGGCAGGGCAGGTGGCCAGCCCACCTGTGCTCCTTGAGCATCGTGTGCACCACGTCCCGAATCGACACCATCCCCTGCATGCTGCCGCTGTCCATCTGCGGGCAGGCAGGTAGGCAGGCAGGCAGGCAGGCAGGCAGGCGGGCAGGCAGGCAGGCGGGCAGGGGTGAGGAGCGGAGGAGGAGCGCGGCTGGTTCCAGGCCGGCCAGGGGCGGGCGGAGGGCGCTGCGCCACGCCGGCGCCGGCGCCTGGCAGCCGACCCAGGGCTCTCCCGCGCCGCCCTAAGCACACACGCATACCCACACGCCAACACACGCACACATGCGCCCACCCAGCTCACCACCCACACACATGCGCACCCACACACAGCCCACAGCCCTACCCCCCATAGCTCACCACGGGCACGTGCCGGAAGTTCTTCTCCACCATCAGCTCCATCACATCCAGCACGCTGCGGGGGGGGCAGGCAGGCAGCCAGGGGGGTGGGTGGCGGGTGTGGCATGGGTGGGGTTGTGGGGGCAGGCAGCAGGGGGGTGGCGGGCACGAGGAGACGGCAGGCGGCCAGGGCCTCTGCCGGTTGCTGCGCGTGCCGGGAGCCTCTTGTGCCCCGAACAGAGCCAAGACATGGCATGGGCCCAACAGTACCACTCACGCACACCATCCCCCGCACACCCCCTGGGCCCGCACCTGTGCTTGGGCGTGACGGTCTGCAGCTTGTGCGCCGGGGTCATGATTTCGCTGACCTTGGTGCTGCTGCTCTGCTTGCCCTTGACCACCACTTTTGTCAGGTAGTCTGCAGCAGGAGGTAGGTAGATAGGTAGGTAGGTAGGTAGGGAGGGAGGGAGGGAGGGAGGGAGGCGGCGGGGCAGGGGGCGCGGGTGAAGGGAGGTGTGCAGGGAGGCGGGTGGTGGTGGTGGGTGAAGGGCGGAGGGAGGGGAGGCCGCGGCCTGGCGGCCAGCCCAGCCCGCGGGCGGGAGGCGGGCTCCCGGCTGGCTGCCAGCAGCGCCCGGGCTGCGCCCGGCAGCCTTCACGCCGGCTGGCGACACCCGGCGGGCAGGGCAGCCGGGCATGCGCACACAAACACACACGCGCACTTGTCCCAAACACACACACACACACACTCTCTCTCTCGTCCCATACGCGCACGCGCACACACACACACACTCACGCACACACACATGCACACACACTTGTCCCCCACTACACACGCACGCACCTCGCTCCGTGATCAGCCCCACCACCGCGTCCTTGGAGGCGTTGGTGATGTGCTTGGAGTCCTGCAGGGGTGGCAGGCAACAAAGGCAGGCAGAGGGCGGCCAGCCGGTGGGGGTGTGGGGCGGGGAGAAGTGGCCCGCGGGTGGCAGGGCGGCCAGCGGGTGTGGGTGTGTGGCGGGGAGAAGTGGCGCGCGCGCTACCAGGCGCGTCACGCAGTCCCGCAGCAGGGCGCGGGGTGGCGCGGGAGCGCCGCAGGGGAGCCCCGCAGCAGGGTGCGTTGCGCAGAGCGGTGCGGGAGTGTCGCCGGGGGCGGAGAGAGTGCGGCGCGTGTGAGGGCGGGCGCGGGCGAGCGGGACGCGCGGGCGGCGCGCCCCCAGCACCCACAGCGCCCCCAGCACCCAGCTCCCCCAGCCCAGCCCACCTTGTCCCGCACCAGGTGCATCTTGCTGGGATCAAACACCAGCAGGCTGCCCACATTGGCATGAGTCATCTGCACACGCAAGCGGCGAGGGTTGCGGCGGCGGCGGCGGCGGCGGCGGGTGAGCGGCGCCGGTGAGCATAACGGCGGTGGGGGCCGTGGCGCACAAGGAGGCGGTCCGTGCTAGGCGATGGCTGCGCCAGAGCCCGCAAGAGGTTGTGCAGCAGGCAGCGCAGGGAGGCCGGGAGGGCGGCGGCGGCGGCGGCGGCGCTCGAGTCCTGGCACCCTACATGCGGCCGCCCCCGGGCCATCCCGACACCCGGCACGCCCCTGCAGCGGCGTTATAGCACCCCCGAAGCACCCACAACTCGCCTTGCGCACGGCGTCAATCACAAAGTCGTCAGCGGCGCACCAGAGCCACGCCCCGCTGTCCTCGGCCTGCGAGCGAGGGATCAGGGGGTCGGTGATCGGGCGGGCGGGGCCCGGGGCAACGGGGCAGCGCCCAGGGCGGGCAAAACCCTAAGGCCGCACCTTGGCCTTCAGGAGCGCCTCCACACGCGTGGTGCCCCATCCCACGGTCTCTGGATCGGGTGCGGGGGCGTTTCCATCGTCCTGGAGGGCTTCGGCGGACCGCCAGGCGCTGCTGGTGCCGAACTGCGATGCACAGGGGAGAGGGTGGGCTCAGAGTCTCGGAGGGCGTCCCTAGCGTCCCGCACGATACATCGGCACCCCACTCACCAGCCTGGGCGCCAGCCGAGAGGCCGGGGCGAGAGAGCGCACTGCCGCGAGTCTGAGCATCCTGTCCTCTTTGCTGGCTGTGGGAGGACAGCCGGAGGAGCAGGAAGAGCTGGGCAGGGGGTCCCAGGGCGCCAGTTTCTAGTGCGAGAGTCGTCAGAAAGCTGACTCGGACTGGCGCACGCCCCTGGCCTCCAGCGCTGCCCGAATTGAGGTACGCGGGGACTCCGGAAGCCTTGCAAACGATAGGCAGGTCGGCGCGCGGCATTGGGAGCCGCCAGCGGCGGGCGGCGGCGGAGGCTTCAGGTGAAGGTTGCCCTGCCGCCAACGCTTCCCCTAGCTTGACTGCAACCTCCCCTACAACCCACGGCGGGCGTGGTGCATCTTACAAGCTGAGGAGGGTGCCACACAGAGGCGCGGCGCCGCGCTCTGGCAGGCTCATTGCCTCGGCGGCGGCGCCCCCGCAGGCTCCCCCGCCGGCCCCAGCGGGAACCAGGCCAGCTGCACCTCGCAGTCCCCCAGCACCAGCCGGTCCGCCTGCGGCACATCCGAGGCCGTCGCCTCCTTCAGCCTCCACTTGCCGCTCTGGCGCCGCCGCTGCGGCAGCTGCCGCAGCGGGATGGCGGCTTTGGCCCAGACCTGCGGCGCGGGGGCGGAGCGGGCAGCGAGAGGCAGCCAGCTCAGCTAGCTGGGGTGCGAGGCAGATGTCGTGCAGGGGTCGAGCTTTGATGTCGGGAACGCTCCGGGACCGCCGCTGCAAGCGCCTCTCTCTGTCTCTCCTCTCTCTCTCCCTCTCATTTTGCGCCCGCGTGCATGCACACAACACACACACACATGCACACACACACACACACACTCTTAGCGCCTCACACACAGACCACAAAGGCCCACCTTGACGTCTTCGCTGAACGAGTCGGCGGCGTCCAGGCAGTACAGGGTGGGCCCAAACAGGCTGTACCGCGTGGCGGACGCCGCCTCCCCAAGCTCCACCACCACCTGCCCCGCCTGCAGGCCAGCCGGGGAGGGAGGGGGTCAGGGCCAGCTACAGGTCTCGGGGAGCCTCGGCTGGCGCCAGCAGGGGGCGGCGTGGGAGGTGGCAGCGCAGCCTGGCGCGCGACGCAGCCGCGGCCGGCGCCCGTCACGCCGCTTCGGTGCGGCCGCCCCCCTGCCTCGGGCCCCAGGCACTGCAGAGCAGCCCCAGGGGCGGCCTGGGCAGGCTGGCTGCCCGGAAGCTACCTGGAAGTCGGCCTGGGAGAGAGCGGTGGGCATGTAGAAGACCTGGTTCCAGTGCAGTACCCCCATGCGCGTCCCCGCCCGACTCTCCATGCTAATCCAGCGCTGCTGTGCCTGCTGCGGCGCCAGCTGCTCCCCGCTTGCCGCCGCCGCCGCCGCCGCCGCCGCGGAAGCCGTGCCGCTGCTGCTGTGCGCGGCGCTGCGGTCTGGCGCGCCGGCGGGGCTGGCTGCGGCCGAGGCGGGCGCGGTGCCGGGGCGGGGCGGGGAGGCGCCAGCCAGCCCTGCCGCCGCCTCGGAGGGCTGGTGCGCCTCTGGCCGCTTGTCGATGCTGATGGCGAGGACGGGGTAGGAGAAATCTGCGGGTGGAAAGGAACGAGGATGTGTGTGTACGGTGTGTGTGTGTGTTGTGTTGTGTTGTGTTGTGTTGTGTTGTGTTGTGTTGTGTTGTGTTGTGTTGTGTTGTGTTGTGTGTGTGTGTGTGTGTGTGTGTGTGTGACGGTTCCGCACCAGGGCACCACGCCGAACCAACGCAGCGAAGGCGAGGCGCGGAACAGGCAGCGGGGCAGGCACGGAAGAGGCAGCAGGCCAGGCAGCAGGTCAGGCACGCGCCTGCGACGTATTCCAGCTTTGTGTGGGCCACCCGCACGGCCAGCACACCCTGCTGCGGCGACGCCGCGGCTGCCGCTGCCGCCGCTGCCTCGGCCGCCGCTGCCATGCTGGTAAGCTGGTCTAGAGCTGCGGCAGCCGGGCCCGCCGCCGCTCCGCCGGGTGTGGGCTTGGCTGCATCTGACCCCGACCCCGAGCGCAGTAGCTGCAGGCTGGGCCGGGCGGAGGCTGGCGGCGACAGCACGTCGGCGCTGGCGCCCCGCTGCAACGCATCCCCCGCCTGCTGCCGCGGCTGCTGCTGCGGGCCTGCTGCCGCCGCCGCCGCCGCTGCCCCGCCCGCCTCCGAGCCCTGCTGCTGCTGCTGCTGCTGCTGCTGCTGCTGCTGGCGCGGGTCCTGCGGGTTGAGCAGCGGCGCCGGGAGCGATTCTGGCTCTACAGGCTGCCAGGTCAGGCGCAGCTGCAGCCGGCCGGCCAGCGGGGCCTGGGTGGGGGCAAACTCCTCCGCCTCGTCCTCCCCCTCCCCCTTCCCGAGGATGTACCGTTGCAGCCGCGCCAGCCACCCACTCTCCTCCTCGCTGCCGTCACTGCGGGGGGAGTCTGCAGCAGAGGGCAATGGGAGCGGGGCTTTATATGCTAGCACTAGTAGTCTGGCTGCAGGCCAGCTGCCTCATCGAGGATGAAGACACGAACTGGTGAAGGGAAACAACTGTGGCAGGCGCGTAGCAGCGGGCGGGCGGCAGCTGCAGCCGCGAGGCCTGCCCATGCAGGAGGCTCTGGGGTCGGTCGTTGAGGGAGGGTTGCAGGTGCGTGGGAAACCGGCGGTACCATGCATGGGTGCATTACCATGCACATGTGCGGTGCCATGCACATGCGCGATACCATGCATGGGGTGCAGGGCATGAGGCAGAAGGGCCACCTGAATGCCGACCCCCCGCCTCGTCCGTCGCCGGCTCCGCAGCCTGCGCCAGCAGGCCGGCCAGCGTCAGGGCTGCGGCGCTGGCCACATCCACGCTCACCCCCTCCTCTGCAGCACCAGTCGAGCGCACAGGGCCACCAGGGTGAGTAGCGGGCCACCCAGCCGGCGGGAGCAAGGCTGGAAAGCAACCGCAGCCGGAAACCGGCAGCAGCAGGGCAGGCAGGCAGCCGGCTGGAGCCAGGCTAGAAGCCACCAGAGCCGAAAACCGGCGCTGGCAGCAGCAGGGCAGGCGGGCAGGGCGGGCAGGCAACAGGATGGGGCGCCAAGGCAGGCAGGCAAGCAGGGAGGCGCCGCACCCGACAACCACTTCGGTTCCGGCTTCTGCTGCTGCATCTGGAGCTGCATGAGGGCTGCGGGGTCCAGCAGCGCGCGCCTGCACGGCAGCGGTACAGCACAGCAGCAGTACAACACAGGCAGCAGTGCATTAGCAGACGCAGAAGGAGTCGGACAGGCAGGAGGCCAGGAGGGCAGGAGCGCACCGGCTCAGAGCAGCAGGCGCAGCGCAGCACAGCGCAGCGCAGCACAGCACAGCGCAGCGCGGCGTGGCACGGAGGAGCAGGAGAGTTGAAGCAGTCGCACAGTGGAAGCGGCAGGAGAGCGGAGGCAGCACCGACAAGCATCTATGGGCGGAGCACAGGTGGGGAGCCGAGCGGGCACCCTGCCAGCCCCGAGCACGCAGCGCCGGCAGCGCAGACGAGGCGGGAACCAGGCGAGGCAGCAGGCGGGTGGCAGTAGGGGGCACACCTCTCCGGGCTGGGGCTGCGGGTGGCGCCGCGGCGCCAGGAGCTGACACGTGCCGGCGGCGGCGGCGTCTCCTCCGCGCGCCGCCGGCCGTGCCGCCCTGGGCTGCCCGCGCCGCCGCCGCTGCTGCCGCCGCTGCGCCGCTCCAGCAGCAGGCTCAGGGCGCGCGGCGGCGGCGTGCCCGTGCGCTGCTGCCAGTGCTGCTGCTGGTGCCGCGCGGCGGCGGCGGCGGCCGCCGCCGTTGAGGGCGCCGCCGCCGGCCCGCGGCGGTCCAGCCGCACCCAGCGCCCGCCGCCCGCGCCTTCCTCCTCATCCGAAGCAGCCGCTGCCGCCGCAGCCGCAGCCGCAGCCGAGGCAAATCCCAGGCCCAGGCCGCTCCTCACACTCGAAGCCGGGCTGAGGGGCGGCAGGTAGCCCTCATCCTCCACCGCCGACTCATAGCCGGCAGTGGAGTCTGCGTCCGAGGTTGCCGCCGCCGCAGCCGCCGCGGCAGCCGCCACCTCCAGCTTGGCCGCTTCCAGCAGCATCTGCTGCACCGTCCACTCCTCCTGCGCGGCAGCCTCGCCCAGGATGTCGGAGACTGCGGGGGGCGGGGAGGGGGCAGGGGTGAGCGGTCTGGGCACGCTCAGCAAGGAGCCGGGCGGGGGCGGCGCGGCAGCGGCGCGGTGGGGGCGGCGCGGCTGCGGTGGCGCAGCTCAGAGCCCGCCCACGTGCACGGCCTGACTAGGAACAAATAAAAAGGAATGGAAAGGGGGGCGGCGGCGAGAAGGGGGGCAGGAAGGGAGCACGGCGAGGGCGGCAGCCCTAACCCCTACCCCCCCCAAACCCCACCCGCCACGTCCACCGAGCCCAGCGGCATGTCGGCGCCCAGCGCCTGCACCATCCCTTTGGCCAGCACCCCGGTGCGCTTGTGAGACAGCAGCAGGTGGAGCACCTGGAGGGAGGGAGGAAAGGCAGTACCATGGGTGCAATACCATGTCGGGTAGCACTGGGCGGCGGTGCCAGTGAAGCAGTACCAGGGGAGTGGGATGCGAGCAGCCCGGAGGCAGGCAGAGGCAGGGATGCAGGCGTGCGGCGTGTGGCAGTGGGGGCAGTAGGCAGAGCAGGCAGGCAGAGCAGGCAGGCAGCTCGCAGCCAAAGCCCTGCCAGCCCCCAGACGCCCCCACCTGGTGTCTGCTGGTCACCACAAACGAGAAGCTCTGCTGCCAGAGCGGGTGGCAGGACTGGTTCTGCGGCAGCAGGCAGGCAGGCAGGCAGGGGCAGCGGGTCGGCATGTGTTTTTGAAGGGGGGGCAGGCAGGCAGGCAGGCAGGGTGGGGCGTGGCAGGCACTTGAGCGGAGGGCAGGCAGGCAAGGTGGTGCGGGCAGCAGCAGGCGTTGCACCGCGGCGGCGCCCTGCGCGAGCGGCGCCGCTGCGGGCCCACGGCGCAGCCAGCAGGCCCGCTGCAGCGCCCGCACCTGAACAGAGGTGAGCCCCTTCTGGAGCACGGCGCGCGCGGCGGCGGCGGCGCTGGCGCTGGCCCCCGCGCCCCCGGCGCCTGCGCCGGCGCCGGGGTCGGCCGCTGCCGGCAGCAGCAGGGACACGCGGCTGCTGACCGGCTTCAGGCGCCCCAGGAAGGTACTGCGCCTGCAGGAGGCAGGAAAGGAAGCAAGGGAGGGAGGGAGAGGCGCCCCAGCCAAGGGAACAGATGAGCATAGGCTGGGGGGGCAGAGCAGGGCAGGCTGAGCAGGGTCAGCCTGCGGAAGCCGGCGAGAAGGCGGCAGGACCGCCACGCGGTGCATCGCAGTCCTTGCGGCTGCAGCTCCCAGCAAAGCAGAAGCATGCCGGCGTGCTGAGCTGGCACACCTGGGCTCCAGGTCAGCGCCCACCACCTCCACCACCAGCACGCCCAGCGGCGCGGGCAGCTGGCGCCGCCGCTGCTGCTCCTTGGCGGCCAGCGCCTGGCCGCCGCCGGCCGCCGCCTCGCGCTGTCGGTCCCAGCTGGGGCCCCAGCGCCACCCCAGGCTCTCGGGCCACACCAGCCTGGCAGGGGCAAGAGGGAGAGCTGTGAGGAAGCTGAGGCAGGCAGCGGGCAGGCAAGGGACGGAGCACGAGGCCCCCTCCCGGCAGCAGCCGTCCACACGCGCGCCGGAAACACGCGGTAAGGCCGCGGGGGCGCCCCGCGCAAGACGCCACGCGGCGCCGCGCCCGTGCCGCATCTGCGCAAGGGGCCGCAAGCAACACAGAAAACAGCGCCGGAAACACAGCCTCTCACCTCTCCTGGATGATCCCCGCCACCGAGGAGCGCAGCCAGCTGCCCAGCGCCGGCAGCGACATGACGTCGCCGCCCAGCACCCTGCGGGGGCGCGCGCGGCTGCGGCGGTCGGAAAGGAGGCGCGCGGGGGTAGCCGCCACGCCGCCGGCGGGCGCCAGGAGTCCCACCCGCCCGCCAGACCCAGGGATCGAGCGGCGGCGGCCCGTGCGCGTCCCTCCCTCTCCAGCTCGGCATGCCTCCTCTGCCTCCTCCCCTCCCCTTCTTTCTTCTCTTTCTATTTCCCGTGCTGCCCCTTTCTTCTCTTTCTTTTTCCCTTGCTGAGCTCAGAGGTGGCCGTGCCCGCCGCCCCCCGCAGCCCACCTGACGTCAAAGTCGAGGTAGGGGCGCTCCAGCAGCGACAGGTTGACCCCCGTCAGGAAGGGGAGCTCCTCCTCTATGGGCGACAGCACCACCCGGAGCATGCCCTCCACCTGGCGGGGGCACAGGGAGTGGCGGCAGGCTGGGACAGGCAGGGGTGCTGCCAGCCAGCAGGGGTGGACAAGAAGGGGGGTGGCAGGGCAGGGCAACGGGAGAGGTGGGGGGACAGGCAAAGGTCCGCAGGGTGTGCACGGTATGTGTGTGTGTGTGTGCAGTGCCGGCAGATGCAAAAAGCTGTGCTTGGGAGTGGATGTGGGGCCGGGGCCGAGGGGTGCCGCGAGGAGGCAGCCCGCACCAGCAGCAGTTTGACCCTGGGCCCAGCCTGCACCAGCAGTGGGCTCCCCAAACCCTAACCCCAAACCCTAACCCCAAACCCAGCAGCGGGCTCCCCACACCTGGCAGGTGCCTACGGTGACCGCCGCCCCCGGTATGCCGCTCAGCTGCATCACCACATCCGGCTTGCCAGCCCAGCGGATGTCGATGTCGATGACTGCGGGGGGAGGCAGGCAGGCAGGCAGGCAATGTGTATGTGTGTGTGGTAGGGGGCGAGGGAGCGACTGGATGGAGGTGGGGGAGGTGGGGAGTGTGTGCGAGGTGGTGGGGGAGGTGGTGTGTGTGGTCGGCGTTGGGAGCGGGGCAGTGCATGGGGCAGGCAGGCAGGCGGGGAGGCCGCGAGAGATGCCGCAGGGGTGTGTTGTCACGCTAGCGCTGCTCAGCAGGCGGGCAGGCAGCGGGTGGTGCGTGTGGCGCCGCCACCCACCCATCTCCAGGCGTCCGTCCTCGCCCTCCCCACGCACTGCCGCGCCTTTCAGCCCAGCCACCAAGGGAGGCTGCGCCCCGAAGCTAAGCCGGGCAAAGGTGACCCTCCCAAACTCGCCTGCAGCGGCGGGTGGCAGCGGCGGCAGCGGGGTTGCGGGCGGGGCTGGCGGGGGCAAGGAAAGGCAGCTGCGGGGCAGCTGGCAGGCGGCTGCGGAAGCCAGGGGGCAGCTGGGCAAGCCAGCACCGCACGCTGCCCAAGCACTGCCGACCCTGCCGCCGTGGCCGCCCGGGCCCGCTCCTGGCCTTTCCAGCAGGGAAGGAAGCGCGGCGCGCGGGCCGCCTCACCGTGGCTGCCCAGCCGCTCCTCCACTTCTTTCTTTATGATGGCGCACACCATGCGGGAGAAGGTGGGCCAGGCCAGGGTCACAAAGGCCTGCAGGAACTGGCCCCGCTCCCACTCCGGGAACTGGAGCGGTGGGCAGAGGGCAGGGGCAGGGGAGGAGGGGTGGGGTGGATGGTGGCTGGTGGTGGGGTGGGGTGGGGTTGGCAGGGGAGGAGAGGCGTGCGAGGGGAGGGGCATGAGGGAGGAGGGGCTGAGCGGGGCAGGGTAGGGACAGGAGGGAGGAGGGGCGGGGCATGGCAGCCGAGGGGCAGGAGGGCGTGTGATAGCGAGCGTGGGGCGGCGCTGTGTGGTGGACAGCAACAGATGGAGGCGGGGGAAGCGCGAGCTGGGGGACAGGGCGCAAGATGGGGCGCAGGTCAGGCGCGGCAAGGGCGCAGCAGGCGTGGCGGGGAGGCGCCGCTGCACGCTGCACGCCCCACCCGAGCCAGGAAGGAGCCTGCCCCAGCCTGCCCCTGCGCCCGCCCCAGCCCCACCCCGGCCGCGGGCCTCCCTCGCAGTCCATCATTTGGCCATGCTAATTAATAACTGTACCATACCCCATTATGCAAGGTTTGCACGTAACCCAGGACCTGATCAGGCCTCCTCACCTTGACCCACATGGGCAGCTGGCGGGACAGCAGGTACTGCAGGCTGCTCTCATCCAGCTCCTGTACCACCCGCACCGAGGCCGCAAACCGCGCCCGCTGCAGCCTGCGCACGGCTGCAGGGGGGCAGGCGAGGCGCGGGGGAGGGGCAGGCCAGGGTGGGGTTGGGCGCGCTGCTTCTGCAGGTGGGTGGAGTGGGGCGCTGTGACCGGCGGCAGGCAACATCACGGTATGCAGGGGTGCACGGTCCCCCGGTGCCCGCCTCAGCTTTCCCGTAGCTGCACCATCTCATCCTGCCAGCCAACATGCAGCCAGGCAGGCCTTTCAGCGGCTCGGGCGGGCAGGGCAGGGCCGCGGCACCGCCCCGGCATTGTTAGCAGGCGGCGGCGCACAGATGGAGAGCATCACAACGTTTCCCAAGATGACAGCCTTCTGCACCCCGTTGTGGGTGCCCAGCGCCACCGCCGCTGCAATCACATGCTGCAGCAGCCCGGGCACGCGCCGCAGCAGCGAGGCAAGGGGCTGCAGCACCATGGGTGCCGGAACGGCTGGGGGAGCTGCGCAGCTGTTCAGTGATCTACAGTGCACATGTCGATGTACTGTCGACAGCTCCCGGAGGGTTTCCGGTGGAAGGCTCCGAACTGCCAACTTGGCACGGCCACAGCCATGCAGCTAGGAGACCCCAGGGCGCCAACACAATCCACACGAGGGTCGAAGCTCACAGGTCGCCGCCCTCAGCCTGCAGGTGTCCCCAGCCCAGACCGACCACCTTGCAGAACTGCAGACAGCTCCCGTGATCGGCAGCAGGAGCAGGCCATGAGCAGGTCCAGGCTGCTGCTACTCCAGGCAGCCTCTCAGCTGGCTCGCGGCTGCAGCAGCAGCGGCAGCGGCGGCGGCGCCACGGCTGCCAGCTGCTCCGCCGCCTTGCAGCCCGCCTGGCGGCACGCCTGGGCCCCCGCCGCGCCCGCCGTGGACGCCCTAGCAGCAGTGGCAGCGGCCAGGGCTTATTTTTCCGCCGCCGCGCCAGCCACACGCACGCAAGCGCTGCCGGCGGCGACGGCGGCGCTCGGCGGGCGGCGGCATGAGCATGCCACCGGCCACCATGTGACCGCCAGCCACCATGCCCTGCTGGATAGAAACCTTCTGGTTGACACGCTAGACACGGTGAGGAGGGAAGGCTGCAGCTGGAGGGCGGTCGCGGCTGGAGGGCGGGAGGTCCAGAGGGGCGAGCTTGCGGCAAGCCGGTGGCGCCACGGAAGGAGGATGCGGCTGGCGGGAGCAGCAGGGTAACAGGCCGTGCCCAGCGGAGCGCTGCTTTTCTTGGCGCCTCGTCCCCCTGCTGCTGCGCGCGCGCCCACACACGCCGCCTGGCCGCCGTGCGGCGCAGATGAAGCGCTTTGAGGGGCTGGGCATGAGCCGGGAGCAGGCGGAGGCGCTGACGCAGCACCTGACGGGCGTGCTGTGCGCCAACCGGGAGAAGCTGGAGGAGCTGTTTGTGGCCAAAGTGACGCTGGAGAAGGTGGGGGATGGTACCGTGGTCCCGCCGTACTGCCTTCCATGTACCGCCGCATGCATGGAGGACCCGTGTGTGTAATGGTGGTGGCGGAGGTGTTGCTGCTTGCCGGCCCTGCCTGCGCTGCCTGCGCTGCGCTGCCCCCTGGCGCCGACCGCCTCACACCTTGCCTGCCTGCCTGCCCGCGCCTGCCCCTGCCCCGCCTGCAGTCCATTCTGGAGCAGGATGCACTGCATGCCGGCTTCCGATCAGAGGTGCTGAAGAGCCAGGAGCTGCAGGTCGGTTGGCCCCAGGGGGCAGGGCTGGGCGTCGGCAGTGGGTGGCGTAGCCGGCCGGCTGGCTGGCTGGCTGGCTGGCTGGCTGGTGGCTGCCCTCAGGCTGGCCTGGCCCGGCAGGCAGCGGGGCAGGTGGCGAGACGGGTCAGCAGAGCGGCGTGGGCATTGTTGAGTGTTAATTGTTTGGGGTGCGCATCACTGATGTGCGGCTCTGTTCTGCCGCGCTGGGCTCCGGCCTGCCCCTATCCCCTAAACGGTCCTGTTTCTGCCCTGCGGCCCGCAGGTGGCCACCTTCACGCGGGACACCGAGCGGCTGCAGATCAACCTGGAGAAGATCCGGTCCGAGATACGGTGAGGCGGCAGCGGGGGTGGTGGTGGTGGTGCGTGTGCGCTTTGCTTTTGGGTGTCACCCAATCATGCCGCCCCGCCCATGCGGCGCGCCTCGGCTGCGCTGTTTCCAAGATCCGCTCACCCGTCTGCCCTCCTTCCCGTTCCTTTCCTCCTTCCTGCTTTCCGTGTTTTCAACTGCTTTCTTCCCGCGCTTTCTTCCTCCCTCCCCGCAGCTACGAGATCGACAAGCTGACCGCCAGCCAGCGGCTGGACCTGAACCTGGAGAAGGGGCGCATGCGGGACGAGCTGCAGATGCTGCGGGACAAATCCAACGAGCTGGAGATCAAGGCGAGGTCCTTTCTTAATCGGGAGGGTGGGAGGGAATGTTTGGCTGGGCGCGTGGCGTTGGCGGCGCTGCCGGTGCCTTGTCTGTCTTTAACAGGGAGAGCGGGAAGGGAGTGCGTGTGTGTGGTGTGGGCCGGATGGTGGTGGCGGCGGTGCTTGGTGGTGGGCTGGGCGAGGCATGTGCGCCCGGCCGCAGCGTGCGCCTCCCCGCCTCCCCTGCTCTTCGCCCCCCGTGCCCGCCCCCTCCATCCTGCCCTTGCCCTGCACCTCCCAAACACACGCACCCTCCACACCGCCCCGCCCGCAGATGGACAAGGAGGTCAACTCGCTCAAGGCCGCCATGGAGCAGAGCAAGAACGACACGGTGAAGTACGTGCTGGGGCTGATGCTGGCGCTCATGACGGCCGGGCTGGGTGCCGCGCGCCTGCTCATGCACTGAGCGCCGGCCCGGGGGACTGGCAGGAAGGCTGGCTGGCCGGCAGGGCAGGGCCCGACTGCGCGCTGCCCTCTCCGCGGCCTGCCTGCGTTTTTCCACGCCTGTCTTCTTCCCGGCGCTGGGGCTTGCTGCTGTAATCTGTTTCAGGACAGTTCATGGGCTCAGCTGCCCGATTTACACTGTGGCAGGGCACCAAGGAAGATGTTCTAAGCATTGCATTTATATATTGCGAATGTGCCTGGAAAGAAAGAATGGGCAGGTTGGAAGAATCGGGTGGGACATGAAACGGGCAGGGCAAATGCGCCGTGCGGAGACATGGGGGGTCGGATGATTGCAGGGAAAGTTGGCTGCCCAGCAGGCCGGCGGCAGCAACGCACAACGTGCTGCCGCTGCCGCTGCCGCTGCTGGGGCACGGCCCGCTAGGCGCAGGCGGCTGGGCCGGGTCGGCACGGCAGCCTGTCGGGGCCATGAGCGGGGATCACGCGTCGCTGTAGGTGCAGCCCGCCTGGGAGACGGGCACCAGGCCGGACGAGTCAAACCCAAAGTCTTCCACCAGTATCTCTGTCATGGCGGCCAGCAGGTCTGGATCCTCGGGCATGCGAGAGAACAGCCACAGGCCGGAGGCAAAGGCCTGCGGTCGGGGGAGGGTGACGGGAGGGAGGGGGGTGGGGCACAGAGCGTGGGTGCATGTTTAAGGGTTCAAGGGTCGGCAGAATCGAATTGTCAGATAATGGCAGAACAAATTGTGGCCCTAGAGACACGCATGTGAGGGCGAGAATGGGTTCGACGGGCCGGCCGCCACGCCAGGCGCATGGGCAGGTGCATGCGAAGCCGGCGACGCATCCGCCGCCTGGCATGCAAGCGCAGCAGGCGGCCCGGGCCCCGGCCCTGGCGGCGGCGCGGCGCGGGGGCTCACGTCGGCAAACACGCAGCCGTCGGCGCCCTGGGCGGTGGGCGGCCCGCTGCTGACGATAGCCCACTCGTAGCCGCCCTGCTCGCCCTCGCCCGCGGCGATCACCCAGTACGGCCCAGACCCAAACTGCGTGCCCACCAGCTGGGAGGCGCCCGGGAAGTCGAAACCCACGCTGAGCTTGGAGGGCTGCGAGCGGTCAGGCACCGTGGCCACCAGGCTGCAAGGGGGGGGGGGGGGGGGGGGGGGGGGGGC